TTATAGTCGCTCTATCTGCACTTGCACTTATTTGGTTGAGCTGTTTGATTTCATTGGACACGCAATGCTTTCAGTAGAGCTGCATTCATTATTAAGTAGATAGATATCTTTGTAGTTTTCTTATTACAAATTACCCACACACTTAATGAACAACAGCAAAGGCATTATGTTTTAATCCACTTTGAAACATTTTATGAACTAGTAACAATTCCTAAAAAAGCTTGAGATGACACAATTTAAAACCTTAAGTAGTAAGTACCTATATAATGAAAATGACATCAATCAGTCCGTTTACAAAATGATATACATATAAATACAATATACTTAAAACCATTCCAGGTACCTAATGTCTAGTGAGAAGCCGACCACAAAGTGCAATACCCCCTTGTGGTCCAAGTCATTATAATGTAACCACAACACAATTTGACTATATGAATGTACCCAGTAGATATATTTTCAATTACACTGTGCATACCTTACTAAGGCCGCGGTAAAAAGATTATTGTAAACATTGTCCTTGTGTAACAAACATGTCAAAGTCGAGAGATACTCGTTATTATTTGAATTGATTCTATATTTTATAATTTAATTTTCCATCACGTACGTTACAATGTTTCTATCACAGTACCAACTAGTATTTTGGGCAATAAAGCCTTCTCATTACTCAGTAATGATTTTTTATTTAGTATAATAATGTAACAATACGGATACAAGTCCCCGGAGCAGGCAATGTTATATTAACTACACACCCACGTTACAAGTATATTTTTAATTCAATTGTAATAGGGGATGACTCGAATACTCGACTAACAAAGCAGTTAAAGCATCTGCATCCTGGCTAAAAATCAAAAATATATACGCCAATGGCTACGTCTTTTAGTTTAAAACCTTGTAATCTATTTTTCTACAATAATGTTATTGAATTTTTATATTAATGCACACTTCTATAAAAATTGACAAATGTATTCTTGATTTTCCTCTTTTAGGATATTATACAATCCAAAAAAATGTGCATATTATGATCAGCGGTGTCACGGCCACAACAATTACGGGTTCATATTAATTATTACTTATGATCTCAACTGCGTTTAACAATAATAAAAGCCATTATATCTTTTCAACAGATTGTTTCTTTAATTGTACTCACGATATAAGTATAGATAAACAATCAGCAATTTGCTTCAATTGTTTTTATAAAAGTTCTCGTAATATATCATTCTCGTCTTGCGTAATATTATGGTGTATATGCTTCCTGTTTTACGAAAGAAATATGATGCAGCTTTACAGAATCGAGGCGATCCAAAGCAAACTTTCTAGCTACCTGACTTAGTGATTTATTGTCAAATTTCGTAACCATTAGATTATAGAAATATGTAAAAAAAAACCTAGACCTGCCCCTAATTGCAATTGCGCTTAGTGACATCTTAAATGAAATAACAATGTCTTCTGAAGTTGTAGATCAAATAAATGCAGAAATATCACCCAAGTTCAACGTGTTTGTGTTCATAAATCAGTTATAAATAGCATAACACCTCCCCTTAACGCTTGCACACTTTATTTTCAACATTAAAGTGCAATATTGTGCCACTGTTTTGCACTTTATCGACGATAAAACTTTTACGTGGTTTGCGTATAGCTCGGGGGTGTTCGCATTTAGGCCGTATATTGTCGTAAAAGGAAATAACAGCAACTGCTTCAAGCTCACTAAATACTCGTAAATAGTCACATTTCATGGCATTACGCAAATGGTACCATTTTACGGAAGTTCGCTATACTATAGTAGGTACTATGCACACACGACCCATACCCTTGCAAATTTAATTAATGATTAGATTACAACACGTCAAATGGCTGCCATTACAAAGCTTCTCTCATGCTATAATATACATAATGGTTATAGGTATGCCTAATTCTAGTTCCGGTTTAACCATTAAGAATACATAACGTCTGTCAAACATTCTTTACGAGGTTATTTAACCGGTTTCGTACATAATATTCTAGACTCGTCGTGAGATATGACTGCGTAAAACTAAAAATATGGCGGCGAAGAAATTCTTCTTAAAAATCTGTGGTTACAACACCGAACGCAGTATATTTGAATGCATAAAATATGCATCAGTAACGAAATCTTGTCTGCTTTATGAAAATCCTTATTAATTAATCCCTATCTGAAACTCCTTAATTACACTATGAAGCGAAAAACCGAAAAAATTAAATGGTCCAAAATTACTCCATTAATCATTTCGATGCCCTAATATTCCTTAAGTTAACGTCTGAACACACCATACTATCATCTGGACATAGCCTAAACGTTTGTGTCGCTCGCAGTGCTCCAGTTTCGTGCCGGTCCACTGGCCGTCGGTCTTACTGCTTACATCAAGGAAACCACGCCCTACGACAATCTGACACAACTACTCATTGCAACAGCTTTCACGGTATCGAATAACGCTCAACACTATTATATGTCGTAGGTACTACTTCACAAATCACCGGTTTTATAAAATATTTTTATTATAGCATCCGCGCACACCGTACCGTCAATCATGGGGCGATTTCTTACGGCGCGCGATGTCTAAGAACTGATATTATGAACTCAAGCAACGTTATATTATTTCAGTAGGAATCAAATTGCAAGAATTTATTTATTGGCAATAAATGACAGAAAAATAATATTTAAGTAAAGGATATCTAATAATAAAAATGGTAGTATACCATAAAATTCGACAAAATTAAGTACCGATACAGTAGTTAAGATCTTAAGGTACACCAACCCCTGAGCGCCATGTACTAAGATTCTCACAGGCTTCCGTCCATACCTCTACTTTCATATCTCTAATCATATCCAGATAATCATAAAAAAATAACAAACTTAAAAGTGCACGTAATTTGTACAAAAGCAAATTCAACATACGTCATACAATAGCTGCTTTGTTAAAAATTCGTGACGGATTCTAATGTAAAGTTCAAATTCCGCACTCAATTCTAAGTAACCGTTACAAAAAAAGTAATAGGATTTAAATTCCGAAGTAATATCATTCGAATTGGGATTACTTATTTCATAATCGGTGTTAGTATCGATTATATTGGGCCTAATATCTTAACCAGAGTTTGTTACAAGTATACGTACCACTTTGTTACGATTTAAATGGGCGGTTACATCACTATAATAGTCTTGTTAATGGTTTTATTAGTAAAAAGGGATTAATAAATGTCGGACATACTTTCTATTATATTCGATCAGCGTGCACGTTTCGTAAATTAAGAGCAGAGAGGAACGTATATAATTATTTAGAGTAGAAAGGTGCTCATGTAATACGTTAAAATGAACAGGCACATCCCACGTTCTTTTAATAAAAGAATATCATTACACTAAAGTCGGCTCTATTAAAATTAGATTTGATTCTAAATTAACATTTCTTTATCGTGTCACCATGTCACCAAGTCTACCTACCTATATTTTTTTGCTAAGACACGGAACGTTCTCCATACCTCTATATTATCCTATTTCTAAACATGTTTTCTTTATCATTGACTATTGAGAGACCTTGACATTTCATAACATTTTTTATATCCATGTCACTTTTTCTTCTCGATGTAAATGTTTTATGCAAAGTACGTATGTCTGTCATGAGCCGGAAATTAATATGTTTTGATGATAGATACATTTGTGTTTATTTTATATAATTTTTCAATGGCACTTTATTATACTGTGATAAGCATTGTTTTAATTCTGATAGAACTGCAAGGAAATATACGTTTCAATAATTTCTGAACCGTTTTCAAATATCCAAAAATAAGTACCTACACAAATACAACATGCCATTTAATAATTGTAGTCCAAATAGCACAGCATTCACAAAGATTCTACCTCTATAAATGATTTCCTAACATTCATTTGTCGTCAGTACAATAGCTGACTGTAGCTAATAAGGTTACTAGAATTATTTAAGCCAAGCTAATCTGAGAGATGCTCAATGACCAGTAATTCAAGAATGAATTAGAAAACTAGCTCATCGTTATGCATCGAAGTATGTAATTATAAAATTATGTAATTTTAGATGAGGCATATCGGAACAATTCGCTGTGGAAGGCTAATTGTGGGTGTCGCAACACAATTGTTCCGTGGATGCGCGTGCGAACACCGCGACCTACCTATTGTCTTTTTTTGTTTACATCTCTGTTTATATTTACAAGGAGAAAACATACATTTCCAGGTTTTTAAGAAAATTATAAAAAATATTTTTTTATGTTTTCGGTTTACTCATGTAATTATTTGACAAGGAACTCGACTATTTTCAAGCCATGCTAGAGGCTCATATTCATGAGCAGCATTTCGCGACCCGCGATCAATTATGAAAAATTGCCAACCAGACTTTTATGCAAGCGTACCTACACATAAGATAATACGGGACAATGGATACTTCTCCGTACATCAGATATAGAACTCACATAAAATTAAACATTAGTAAACTTACACTAGAAACTCCCAATTTACGTCATTAATTTCACTACTACGAATTTCATAAAGTATTAAATTTTATATTAAGCGTCGTACTTACATCTGACCCCAGTGACCCATAAAATACTAGATTTTCGCAGTTCGATCAGTGCTCAAGCAGATACTGACGCCCATGCAGACAATTTGATATGATTAAATCGCTTCTTACGTCAGCCAGACTAAGTTGGCTAGTGTTCATGTCCTACATCTAGGCAATCGTTTAGAAATCCGAGGAGTTATGCCTAATATTATGCTTATAATATACCTATCTAACAAAATTGACATATTTATCAACAATGAATAACAGCGAGAATCCTCTTGTTATTTTCTATTCACACGTGAAAGTTGAATTTCTCGTTTTTCCCTCTTTGGCACAAGAAACGCTGACGAGCCGATGATAATAACTGTTGATGATATGTACTATAAATTAGTTTATTTATCTATAAGGTATATATCGATATTATTGTCACCTAGTAATAGTTTCAATGTCTGTTCATTTCAGATGCGGCGGCAGGCTCGGATCTCAGGCGGCGGCGCGCTTGTCGTGCGCACCGCCTCTGCCTTACAAGGTAAACTTCATAATTTTATATGAAAATTAAGTATTTAAACTTACAAAATCATAGTTATTTTTGAAATGGAACTCCTTTTAGTAAACCTTTGAAAAATAAGGCTTAATAAGCAGTCAGGAAACCGTGTTAATGTGTGCAAGCTTGGCGCGTGGTAGAGATTAGATTAAAGCTCATTAAAATTCAAATAAGTAGTTATATATGAATGAAACTGAATATGTAAACATAAACAAAAAATCAATAAGTTAAAATTATGAGATAAATTAATGTATTGATTTAATTTTATTCAAGTCACACCAATATTTTCATTCATAAAATCCCACTTGTAGCATGATTAGATCAGAACTAAAATGATGACGATTTCCGATCATAACTACGCTTTTTTATAATAATTATGTTAATATAAACAAGTATTAATTATTATTGTATAACTTGTATCAAAACATAATTAATCACAAAGGACAGACTTTCTTAAACAGGAATAAAGTGATAATTATATCCTAAATAAAAAAAATACTAAGCGTTTTTTCTGGACCACGTCTTACAATAAGTGTTATACATAACCATTTTCTACGTGGTATATTAAAGTAGATTAGGTATTCTAGTAGAAATCAAGTCTAGATTCTCAAGCTGACTATTCAATATTCAAAGACTGTACCTAGTTTCTAAAGGAGATACCTCCAAGATATGTTAATTTTACTTTTACTTAGCGTTATAATTCTCGTTCAAAGTGTTAACCGTGAATTCAGAAAGGTTAATTTTAAACGGTATCCCATCAGGAACATAATCTATTTATGGAATTTACAGTAATTGTAACTGTGAAACTTTTATATTCCATAGTTTTCTACCTCATACAATTCTTGATTTATGTTCTTGAACCTAAACTGTCTTTAATAAACGTAGGTCCTATAGTATCATCCTGAGTCTTCTAAAGTCACTAATATGTATATTGTGTTTCTATTTCAGTTTGGCTGTGGTTGCTGATATTCATATTCCAGAACGAGTTTCGAATATCCCGGTCAATTCAACCAGGTGTGAGTATCTATACATTGAAAAAGTTAATTTCCAACACGAAATAAATAACCTTGGTATTGTTTTATATAGTGACGCTGGTTATGCAAAAGTTCAGTATTTCAATGTTAAATAAAACACGAGATATTAGAACAGATAGATTTCTAATATTATATGATATGATTTTATCAATCACACGTCTCACTCACGAAATGCACCATAACCAATTTGATTCAAAAGTGTTATTCTTATCAGAACCACTGTTTTTTGGAACAATTGTATTTTTTCCAATCACCTCTTTATCGTTCAACAAGAAAAAACTTCAGTCAATCAAACTAGAACCCAGTCTATTGTAATCGAAGCTTTATATTGAACATGCCCTACAATTTTTTTGCATTAACCTTTTGTTTATTTTCCAGTATTTGGATTTTGACAACTTGCCCGAAACGAACTTCACGTGCACGGGCAAGGTTATTGGCGGGTACTACGCGGACCTGGAGACCTCGTGCCAGATGTTCCACGTGTGCACGGTGGGCCAGAACGATGAGCCCATGGACATCAAGTTCCTTTGCCTCAATGGCACTGTCTTTGATCAGGTCAGTTTATTGACTTTATTCTCTCATTTTCTTATTTATATATTAGTTTATCTTTTGGATATCCATATCATCCATAATTATGATCTAAGTTTTACTATATATGGCTACGATAATATTGAGATTCATTAAGCTATAATTAATCAACATGTAATAAAAATAAATTAATACTCTTATTTCAGGAGACAAGAGTGTGTGAAAGAGTAGACGAAGTAGATTGTACAAAGTCTGAAAAGTTCTACAGTTTAAATTTAGAGTTATATGGTAGCACAGCGCCACCTATCATACAGCCAGACCAACAAAAACCTCAAGCACAACCAACTGAACAATCACAACAACATACCAAACCAAACCTAGAAGCTGACCCTTCAGTAGATGATAGTTCCACCACAACACAGGATAAAACTCAGGAACACACTCCAGATGCTACAGATTCAACGGAAGACCCCATCCAAGATATTCAACGTGATGAGCCGAAAGTTCCACAACCCAACCCTACGCACCAGCCTTTACCATTATCAGAACATGATGAACTTACCGGAGGAGGTACTTATTTTTAGTATTACTATTATAATGTATTTGTTAAATCCTATTGCATCCTAAATTAGGAATAGTAGCACGAATTTGTAATAAAGTAAATATATCTATTTCAGAGTACCAAGAAGAAGATGAAGATGCCGACTACGAAGATTACGCTCATCACCCAAGTACAACGACGACACTGCCAACAACGACATCGACGACGACTACAACCACCACCACTACTACTACAACCACGACAACTACTGCCAGACCGCCTATAACAACAATATTGCCTTCCACATCCCACCCATCTCCAATACCTCACATAATTTCTTCGCCAACTCCCATTCTGTCGTCACTATCTCCTCCTTCGCCGTCATATCCACCTTCAGTACCATCCGCTCCGTCAGCACCGTCCGGCTTGTCAGCTCCGTCTGCACCTTCTGCACCATCTGGACCATCTGCTCCCTCTATACCAACACTTGACCCCTCCTTACTTTCACCACAAGAATTTATCTACCGTCATCGGGGGCCAGGATCTGAAGCTATATCATTTCAACGTCAAAGCTTTCGACCCGCAGATGGAGTTTATATAACACATGCACCACCGCAACAATTCGACCACTTTCAATATGAATCGTCTCGAACTGCTCCGCGGCCATCAGCGCAACGTCCCGCTCCCTTTGTACAACGACCTCAACCAGCTCCATTTCGGCCCACCACACTAGATCCTCGTGATCAGTTGCTGCGTCCTGGACCAACTTCTCAATCTTCCGAACGACATGAAACATCTGTTAAACAAAATAGGCCACAAAACTATCCTCAGTCTTTACCAGCGCAAAGACCCTTGCCATTTAATCCATTCTACTATGATCGCAAACGAAGTGACGATGTGGTTCCAGAAACAGCATCTGCATTATCAGCCCGATCTGTTGCTCCACCAAACGTAACAGACAAACCGCAAATAAAGTTAAAAAGTCCTCCAAGAGTGATTGTAACAGCAAGCGCATCAGTCAGCGATAGCAATGGTAAAAGACTGAACTATACAGTTGGCAACGTTGTCAGTGCAGTAAAACCCATAGTTCCGATTAATTATGACGACTACAAAGAATCCGATCTTATATTTGACCCATTCTTTCTTGATGTCCCAAAACTACAAAAGAGACGAAAAACTAGATCTAATAAAAATAGAAACATATTTACGGTTCCGTCTACAGTAACATTAGCGTCCGATTTATTACCTGAAAAAATCACAGTCACGGTGTCGCCTATGACATCAAGAGCGACAACTACACGAATAGCAGAGCACCAGGTATCAGTAGCGACCACGACCGCCGTTTGGAACCCTAACGACTACGTCGATGACAACTACGAACCCCATGCCTACATTCCACCGGTACCACCACTAGCTGTGTTAGTGCCACACGAGCTGAATAAGTATAAGAAACACGATAGACTATCTAAGAATGATTTAGGTGAAAAAAAGACTCACAAAGATCACAAAACGAATATTGGTAATATCGAACAATCCAAGCCGACGTCGGCGTCTGCGCTGCAGACATACTCTAGTCATGTGGCGGCCGCGGACAGGGCGCCCACTGCCGCCTCGCCGCCGCCTGCGCCGCTACTCGAGGCGCCCGCTCCTGCGCCCGCCTGCGCCACCTCGCGCTCTACTCACTGTCGGACTCGTGCCTAATTAAATTAGCTCACTTTAAACAATAAATAGATAAATACCTAGTTACATATTTAGATAGGTAGAAAATTTTAACAATTTTTCAGGCGCACTATTAAGTCATCGATCGTAAGAATTTATTTGTAAAATAAATAAAATTGTGAAAATACAATCTTGAAAGTCTTGTGTCCTATTAAGAAAATCGTTTATTAAGCTCCCTTCGAATAGGTGCTAAGTTGATTCTAGAATCTAGATAGTACCTCTGATTGAATCAGTGTACCCTATAGTATATAAGTTTAATTAAAAAAACCCTTAACAACCTTTCGAACTACTTCGTACAATACAATATAATTGTACAACATAACGTACATAGATCTATTATAATTTTAGACCGGTTCGGACGGAGCTTTAGTATTTATGTTTTCTAATTATTTTAAACATTGTAAATATGTACCAGTTTCGATAAATTGATATAATGTATTTTTTAAATTTGTCATATCATTTTATAAGTACCTACGGATATTTATGATGGAAACTTTGTAAATATCATAAAATATACTTGATGTTTCTATAGATGTTTTATTTTATTCTCTTAGTCGCAAATATAACCAATGGAAATGTGTCTGTCTGTATCTGGCTCTTTAATCTTTCTTGAAATAATTCTTAAAAAAGTTTTGTTTGTTGGTTTCCTCTCTACCCCTTATTATAGTTCACAGTCGACCCTTAAAATTTTCTTACAAAGTACAGGCATACCTCGTCGACTTTTCAGTCATTAAAAGTCAAATTTTATATCTTTTGACATAGAAAGCTAAATGACGTAATTTATTATAGGGAACCCTTTTTTTCAACGTCCTCTCAGGGAACCTTTTCATCTCAACCAACTGTATTTTAGGAATCGAAACTAAAACTTGGCTAGAACATTAAATACATTCTCAAGCCCCCAAGAAACGAGAATAAACTACGATTAGAGGCCCAGTGGATATGTATATCATTGGAAAATGAGAGTGGACTACACCGAATAAGTGTAATAGTGAAACCAAAGTGAAACAGTTTGTTTTTAAATGTATTTGGCAAGTACTTGGAATGAAGGTAAATTAAAAGAGGTTGTATCAAATAGATTATTTAGATCTATGTCAAAGTGACAGAATATATTTGAAAAACCATCTAGATTCACATAATTTTATAGTTGAAAATATTTTTAGGTATTTGAATATATTATTTATTTAACAATGTCGTACCCTAAAGGGCAAAATATAATGAATGTTAAAGAAATTATTGAATTCGCTTTTGGCGATGTAGAGGTGAGTCATTCCCATATTAAATCAGAATATAGCATTTCGGCTCAAGTTTTCTTGCGTTTTTTGCTTTAACTGCTAAATATATAAATACAATGCTGCAAATGCACCGGACTGATGCTAAGGAGTCTCTTGCTAAGTCTGAATTTGGGTTAGTTCAAGGAAACAGTGAATAGGGTGCTTATGGTTAGCCACGCTCCATCATACGCGGCATCATTACTTGTAGGGATTTCAATTGCTAGATCCAACATCCAGCAACTCTGCTGGATCCAGCATCCAGGAAAGATAAAAAATGAAGTAACTGGGTTAGATGTTTTTATACTGTTATGGTGTATATGATAAAGATACGACTTACAATAATATATTATAATGCGTTCTGGGCGCTGCCTAGGAAAGGCTTTTAAATCAATGCTAGGCAGGAGCTAAGATATCAGTTTTACATACATAAGGTCACGCCTGTCTCCCATGGGGTTAGGCAGAGACAATGGAACGCCAATTGCGCCAATTCTTACATATCTCTTTCACTTCCTCAACAGTCACCAGTCTTTTCAAGCATGCTCGTCGGTTAAGGGTCCTTTTAATTTGACCTTTTTTTAATACATGCATCACCGATCTGGTCGATGCCGTCTAGAGCAGTCTCTACCGACGCCACGGTCCCATTCATATCCGCTCTGTATACTTCTTTCATAAAGCTAAATTAATCTATCCTTTCTACATATGCCAATTACTATATATCACTTTTATTCACACAACTAGCTTTTGGTGTGTGGACTTGGTCCACGTATATGACTTCTGACAGAATTTGGATTTTTTAATTAAGTCTTATGCTGTGTAACAAATTTCATCAAAATCGGCCGACCGACTGAAGAATTTTTCAAATCGATCGGGTAGTTTCGGAGGCTATTCAATTCAATCAAACAAACAAAAAGTCAAATCTTTCCTCTTTTAGTGTAGTAGTGTAAATAAGTTTTAATTTTTTTGTGTTCTAGGGAAATGCTGTGAATTTTAAACTTATTCAAACCGTACTTTTCTTGATTGCTAGACAATTAAGATTACTGGAAAGAAAGGTAGAGATTGAATTGGGACCCATAGCTTTTATACCCTCGGATACAACTTTGGCAGTTACTGAATATAAATTACATGCTGGACACAAGAAAAAAAGGAAACCTAGAGATGAGGGCGATAAAAGAATCGGCGTAGGAAAACGTGGTGCAAGCATTAGCTCTGATAGTGGCACTGGCTATGGTGGTGGTGGTGGTAGCGGCGCTGGTGGACCTGGTGGTGGTCCAGGCGGTGGCTACGGTGGACCCGGCGGTGGCCCTGGTGGAGGACCTCGTTATGGTGGACCTAGTGGTGGACCTGGTGGTGGACCTGGTGGTGGACCTGGTGGTGGACCTGGTGGTAGCTATGGTGGACCGGGTGGGGGCCCTGGTGAAGGACCTGGTTATGGTGGACCTGGTGGTGGTTCTGGTGGTAGCTACGATGGACCTGGTGGTGCCCCTGGCGGTGGCTACGGTGGACTTGGTAGTGGCCCTGGTTATGGTGGACCTGGTGGTGCACCTGGTGGAGGATATGGCGGACCTGGTGGAGGATATGGTGGACCTGGTGGAGCACCTGGTGGAGCACCTGGTGGACCTGGTGGAGGATATGGCGGATCCGGTGGAGCACCTGGTGCTGCACCTGGTGGAGGGTACGGTGGACAAGGTGGTGCACCTGGTGCAGGATATGGCGGGCCTGGTGGTCCACCTGGTGGAGGATATGGCGGACCTGGTGGAGGATATGGTGGACCTGGTGGAGCACCTGGTGGACCTGGTGGAGGATATGGCGGACCCGGTGGAGCACCTGGTGCTGCACCTGGTGGAGGGTACGGTGGACAAGGTGGTGCACCTGGTGCAGGATATGGCGGGCCTGATGGTCCACCTGGTGGAGGATATGGCGGACCTGGTGGTGCACCTGGTGGAGAATATGGTGGACCCGGTGGAGCACCTGGTGCTGCACCTGGTGGAGGGTACGGTGGACATGGTGGTGCACCTGGTGGAGGGTACGGTGGACCTGGTGGTGCACCTGGTGGAGGCTACGGTGGACCTGGTGTTGCACCTGGTGGAGAGTATGGTGGACCTGGTGGTGCACCTGGTGGAGAGTATGGTGGACCTGCTGGTGCACCTGGTGGAGGGTATGGCGGACCTAGTGGTGCACCTGGTGGAGGTTATGGCGGATCTGGTGGTAGTGGACCTGGTAGTGCATTTGGTGGACCTGAGGTTGGAGGCCCAGGTGGTGGTTATGTTGCCCCAGGTAGTGGAGCTACTGGTGGTCCAAGTAGCGTCCACAGTGGAAGTTTAACTGGTTTGCCTAGTGGGCCACCTACTAGTCGAACTGGTGTTAACTATGGTTCGTCTAGTGGTGGTGGTCCTAGCACTGGAGGTGGGCAAGCTGTCGGACAATACGGTGCTCAACAAGCAAACGCGGATAAAACTTCATCTACATATCCGGACAAATCTTTGTCATCGTATTCAGATAAAACCTCAAGCAAAGCCAGTAAAACTACGAGTAAGCGGCCGTCACGTACAAGTTCCTTACAAGATCAACAGCAAAAAATGAGCAAAACGAAGGTACGAATACTATAATTGTGCTTTGCTAAAAGTATTCATCCAAGTATTTTGAAATGTATTAAGTAAAGTATTTCTTGTTGTGAGCATGATAATAAAACAATGTATTCTGCAGCTGCCCTTTCGACCCGATATTCTGGACGTCATAGAAACGCAACGGGAAAAAGAGCTTCGTGTAATTCATCAGGTGCAATAAATTTCATCGCATCAGAAAACATTGTTCATTGTTGTCTTTCTTTTTTAATTTGTTGTAGCTTTAAATGATTTATAACTATTTTTGGTAAGTATTGGACAAATAAATAACCATAGCGATCAGGTAAAAATAAAGAAATTAGGAAATAAGACAGAACATCGAACTACATATAATTAGTTTGTGGTCAATAAATAACTCGTATATTTACGACGGACAAACAATGACACCAACGCTTGAAACAAATATTAGCTAGTATAAACATGGTCTCAGAAATTGAAAAACTTACAAGCCGTTTAGGTAATGTGTTCAGTACTAATTGTGAACAACAATATTCATAATGCAAATGCTTAATAATCTATTTATTTCATGAAACTGCAGAGGGCCAATTCTTACGAAGAACGAGCGAAAACACCGACACCTATGGCCTCGGTGGGTTCTATAGGTATGTCATAATATTTAATGAAATAACATTATAAACATTAATATTTGATTATCAGATAACGTTATAAATGTTTGCAGCTGAACAATACGAAAAACTTCTTGTTGGTAAGATTCTGATTACAAAAACAATAAGTTATATTATAATTTAGACTTTGTTTATAATTAATATCATACTTTTTTAACAGTTGAAAGAGTACCGAGTAGAGAATCAAGGGGTGGAGGTAAGATTTGACAATTTGTTAATAAGTTAAAAGCGCAATATGGTGACATAGACATTATGAAACATAATAAAAGTTACATCGTTTTTCTATGAGCAGAGATTGTGCAAGGACAAGGACGTACCCCTCGGCTTTCCCTGGTAACTCAAGAACAGTTTGATAAATTGGCGTTGGCTATCCAAGAGCTACAAAAGAAGCTTTTGTCAGGCAGTCGAAAGTTTTCTGAACACGAAGGACTAATAGAAGAACTCCGAAAAGATGCTTCGCTCGCAGATCCAATGGTAGCAGTACAACTTTCTGCTCGACTAGAAGCAGCTGAAAAAAAACTTGGAAAGATGCAGAAAATGGTCAATGAGTTAGTAAGTAGAAAAACATTAGCTGCTTTAGTAAATTATAACAAACTTGTAATAGACACTAAAAGACAAGTCTACTTGACATTAGATAGCTAATAAAACATAGCAATTATTAAATTTCAGCCGGTTACTGTACGCCATTATTATTATTACAGGGCAAGCGAGCAAACTATGATGCACCTATCGGACCCTATAACACTGACGTATCGGCGTCAGATTATGACACTAAATCTCAAAGCTTACGAAGTGGAGCTGCTGGTGGTCGTGGTACTTCACCAGGAGGTAGACCTGGAGCTACTCTTGGTGGACCCCAAACTGGCCCTACTATCACCGATGGATCGTATCCACCGGGTGGACTGACTGAACTCGATGAACTTGAAGCTACTGATACTTTTGATGGTGATGTAAAACGGAGGACCTTACCTGGTACTGCTACTAAAGGTGGTCGTAAAAGTTTTAAACAGGGGAGTTCTGCTACTCCTTCCGTAAAATCACAAGAGACGACCCGAAAATCATTATCTTCCGCTGGTGGTATTTTTTCTTCCAGTACAACTCCTTCAACGACCGCAACCGCCACCGCAACCACCAATGTCACTACCACTTCCTATGGCCCTGGAAAATATTTAGATCCTAGTTCAATCCTAGATAAACCTCCTGAGTCTGATGTGCTCCAAACCCAAACTACAGAGGAGGGTGAAGAATATGCTCTTAAATCTGATTATGTCACTTACAATGAATTGGAGTAAGTTATCAAATGCTTAGTTTTTTTTTACATATAAACATAAGTCAAATCGGGGTCGATTGTTGTAAAGGGTGAAGTATTAATTGAGGTTATTTTCACTCTAACATAACGGGTGATTAGCCTGAAATCTGGATATACTATGTATTTCAAAGTTTACAACACCACGACTAACCATTAAACAATGGTGGTTAGCTCTTACAGATAAACAATTTTTTCTTGCATTCTTGCCCAAGCAATGTAACCTTAAGTAATATTACATAATTTCCATTATTTCCAGCGCAGTAACACATAAATTATATGACAACCTATTGAATATTTTATCACAAATAACAGCGCGTACCACCCATAACGCTGAGAATGCATACAAACTTTCTATAAATTTAGGTAAAGCTGTGTTTTTTATGTTATTTGTTGTAATATATTATTATTGGTAATCTGTGTAAGAAAGGCCTATATCATATTACATACAGTGTACATAAACTATCCCTTCACTAACGGCATTTATTTACACATAGTTAGTATGTAGACTTTGCTGATATAATGTCTAGATAGAGCGTCACCAAGCAATAGCAACAAAAATGACGTTCCAAAATTTCTTGCATATGTGCAAGCGGCTTGTGGTTTACACGGAGCAGAAATAATACCAGCTACGACAAACAATCTCCCATCAAATTTATATCTCCCATAAATATTTGGGTACATGTACCAGACCATTTAGAAGTAAAATAAAAAAGTAACCATCTCTTTGAATTTCATTTTAAAATCTTCTTTATAGGACATTTCGTTGATATTTATACTTTATTAATAAAATATTATTGCAGTTTCAACCTTTCCATCAAAATATATAACTAAATCGATTTAATTATTTCAAAATAACTGTTGACAATCGAAACGCACCTTCTTTTTCTAGTCGGTTAGAATAAATTGTACATTATAGCGTAGGTAAATGTTAGTTCAATAAATAATAAAATTATTATTTTATTTTTAATTTACAAGCAAATGAATTTATGTCAATATCTTTATGAGACTTATGAGGAGAAAATATTGAAAAATAAATTGGCAACACTGATAAAATATGGCGGCAATTAGTCAGCTCTAAAACTTAAATTGAATAATTTAATATTCAATTAGGTACTAAGCGACGGGGAAATGATCTGTTTAGTATTTTTAACCGCTATTTATAATCGTAGCACAATTTTATAGAGCATGTGGCAGTGTACTTTTTTGTTTACATATTTATTTTGTAGTGTACATGCACCTAGTAACGCCTATGTGACACAATTGGTACTACTTGACGGGAAAGTGCAATGCAGTGAACAGGTCACTGCAAATTTTTGTGACGCTTTTCGTGAACTGGCACTCCATCTAGACATTATATAAACATAGTATGTAGATTAGGAAAAAGACATTTCAGTTCATTAAAAGATTATAACCTAGGTAGTAGCTACTAGGAGTAGGAACTAGGAAGCTACTTATGTAAATAACTTACTAATCCCATTACTAATATTTTAAATAGATGCAAAAATCGAGGTTGCGTTAGCTGCCGCCGCTCGGATGTCCGATTTGGAAGATTTGGTCAAACAATATTCCGATCAAATAAATGCACTTGATACGGGGCTCTCCTCTCAGGTAACAAGCGTTTTATTCAAAGGTGCTGTGACGAATGTTACAACTTGCATGGATATCTTAAACAGTGATGTCACAACCTTTACCAGTACTCCTAAACAAGTTGTGTCTGCATTGTACGTACCACCCTTTTGTCGTATTTGCGAAATATATTTTTTATACGCGGTTTTAGATGACGAACTACCAAGAACAAATATCGCAAATGCAACATGATTTAGAAACTGGATTAGAGAATATAGCAGAAAGATTAGGCAACACTGGCGGGGATACAGCAGGTACTTATTAATGTTAATAATTTGCAACAATGTTCAACTTCGTCGCCGTTTTTTTTATGGTATAAGCCGGTAAACGAACAAACGGATCACCTGATGGTAAGCAATGGACACCTGAAACACCGAGGCGTTTCAAGTGCGTTACCGGCCTTTTGGGAATTGAGAATTTGAGGATAGTGGAGGATTCGGGAATTGGGGAGACTAGGGAGGGGGGGTACCTAATTGGGCCTCTGGTAACCTCACTCACTTACGTTGTGTTTCACGACGAAACACAACGTAAGCGTTTTTCACGTCGGTTTTCTGTGAGGCCGTGGTATCACTCCGGTCGAGCCGGCCCAGTCTTTTCCGGTGAAATTGAAATAGAACGTTATCGTATTTTTGACTTATAGCGGTGACAGAACTGAATTCTCACTTCACGGCCCTGCAAGTGGATTTCGAGAATATGTTAGTTCGACAGAAGGATTTGAAAGATTCACAAAATTCTGTAGCTTTTGATCTCGAAGTAAGTAACCATTTACGTTCTAGTTAGATAGTTCTCAAATACTTACCTACTTATTAGTAATACATATAGGAATATGAATATAATATAACGTACACAATACCAAGACTAGGAATAGTCTTTGTATTGGGTAATACTGGACTTTTCCTACTTTAACGACATTTACTACATTTGCAGTCGCGTAATGTGTGGTGGGTTCGTTTACCGCACGAAACAACTTTTCGTGTAATTCACAAATTGCTGTTTCGGGTCTGGGTATCATGTGTAGGTATGTGAAATTATATGTTTGTAAACGCATCCACGACACAGGAGAAAATTCTAGTAAGTGGTAACGAGAAAGTTCGATAGAAAGGAATTAATTATGAATTTTACGTCCATATACTGGGGGGTGAATTAATTTCAAGTTGTACTTAAATATCATGCTAGCTCTGTCATTTTACAAATAATTTAAAGTGACAGATACATACTTGAGCGCGACTTAAAATTGAATAGCGTTTGAGTATTTGGACATTAATGAATGGCGTAGCCCCGGACTGAGAGAGCCCCTTATAAGGGCCCCCAAAATATTTTTATACGGGGCCCCGCGAAGACACGATACGCCACTGCATTAATGAAATATGCTACTAAGTAGGTAGGTAGGTACCTATTATTTGATTTAGCCTCTAATTGTAAAATATAATTTCAATGTCAGAATTTATGGAAAGAAATAGAAATGCTTCGGGATACAAAATCAGACCGTGAAGAAGTAACTGATGCGCTCCGTGATAAAGCGGGCATTGGTGAACTCAACGGTCTTGTTTCTTTGCCACAATTCGATGCTGTACGAGGTGAAATTGAAAAGCGTATAGGTGCAGCATACGATAAATTTAATAATCAAGAAACTGTTTGGCAAGTAAGTGATACATTTATTTTTAATTTTCAAAAAACATACAGAGCACCTACTCGATTCATGTTGTGCTGAATAATATTTTAAATTACACAATTACAGAAAGCTATAGATGACCTTATAAGAGATCTAAACGAAAAAGCTGATATAATTCAAGTAGAATCTCTGAGAGATGAAATTGCTAAATACATAAATAAAATGAAAGAACGCATGCAATTCATAGAAGACATTGTGGGAGATCCAAAAAGTGCGATGCTATCTAAGAAACTATTCCGCGACGCCGCATGTCTATCTTGTGGTAGCCCGGCACACATGGACCAAGAAGAACCATTTTCCATCCCTGCTCTACCTAAATTTCCCTCAACCAGACAGCCAGGTGAAGGAGCTGAAGCTGAGACCACAACTAAGGGAGGAGGGGATCATGGAATTTGTTATAAAGATTTTGTCATACCGCACCCGAGAGATCCAAGGTCAGAAAGTTTGATATTGTGAAATATCATCCCCATGACTAAGAAAGCACTCACAAACTTTGATCGCATTATTATTTTTAAAGCTCTAACATTCGTGAATAGGTACTTACGAGGCAGTACTGAAACGCTATTACCTACTTATACTTACTCAATTGTCTTATGAACACAGGTCACACATATGTCAGCGGTACTGTGGCGGCTCTCACACTTTGGTTACCGAAGGACCGAGTCGCATTCCTCCTGGCGTGCTCGTACAACAGTCCGTAAAACCAACGACTACAATACAGGGCACGGATGGAAAAGTACGAACATCTCTTTCTTAATTCTAATAGGTCATGCTAAAAATGGCTTAGACAAAAGTTTTTGGTAGTTCTCTAATTGCAAAAGTTCGTCAGATTTAATGTCACCAATATTTATTATGGTGTGGGATTAAGAGTACCTACCTATTTAAAACCTTCATTTTGTTTGATAAATAATAAAAGCCACATATTCGTTTCAGACGTATTTAATGGATGAAGAACCTATAGAATTAAAAATACCATGCAAGCCATGCAACAAGGCAAAATCGCCATTTGATCGAGGTAATGACGATATTAGTGCTTTGCTTAAAGTAAAATGTTCACTTTAGTTAAATCTTATTTTGTCTTAAAGGATTTTTTTTTTGTTTTTTTTTTAAGTTTTAATATCGGAACATCGTATCATAAAATATTACTTTATGGTAATACGATGCTGTATTTCCCTATAGTTTTCGCGTGGAAACATGCAAAGATACGCTGTGTGGTGTAAATAAAATTAAGCTTGACGGTTATTACACATATTAAAACGTCACTATGCATAGGAATATCAGTGGCAAAGCTAGAAAAAATAATTAAAAAAATTAACCTAATCTACAAAGCGCAAACAAGATGCCGCTATCAAAAAAAAAAATGTAATGTTACTGAAATATATAAAACTAAAATCTTAACTTCTTATTATATCCTAAACAACATAACCTAACATATTTTTTTTAAGGAGGAAAAATCATCGAATGACTGCTCCCGCCTGGGTGAGGCGGGAGGGAGTGTCAGACTCTTACTGACTAATAACCACCCCGTTCCTTCTCCTGCACGTCGAGCCGGAGCCCCGGTTACCCGTTAGGTTCTCCGCGACTTGTCTTTAAGGATAGAAACAAATAAACAGATCACCTGATGGCAAGCAATCAGCGGCGCCACAACAGTTACAAATGCGTTGTCGGCCGGGAGAGGGATTAGATTGGGCCTTCGTTATATAAGTTCACTCACTCAACGAAACATAAACGTAAGCGCATTTTTCACGAGGATGAGATATAACTCCGGTAAATCGTATAGTTTTAAAAATTGTTTTTTTCCTGGACCAATCTTAGATTAGATAAGATTTACCTATTAATGTGGATTTGAGATCATTATCGGCTTTATTAAATACCTACCTATCAAACTACAATCTTATTTTTTATTTTAAGGTTTTAATACAAATTGTGAAATTGGAGATACTTCCATGACTACGCCGGAACACGACATGACATCTTAGGAAACTATTTACCTACTTTACTTTCTTTCATTTAATACAATTATTATTCGTTCTTTTTCTGTGCTCTATTGTTATTCAAAATAAAAATATTCTACATAATAACGTGCTTTTTATTTATCAGATTTGTCACGAATTAAGATTTATTGCACGTATTAATTCAATCCCGTTCGTTAAGATAACTTTTAAAAAATAAGTAATTTGCCTCTTTTATCAAATGACTGAGTACCTATTATTTAAAAAGCTAAAAACGGCCCTGTTTATTAAGAGGCTAGGCTGTTCAATTAAATGGTTGATTTGACTAGTTGGCACTTGTCAACCTGTGATATGCATAATGCATCCCAATACCTATTCTATTTTTTTTTTGTTATCCTTCATTTCAGTAGTGAGTAAAACGGTGAATAGACAATATTTTTTTATAATGTAGATATTATATTATTATATTATCCATGATATTACAATGAGTTATAATTATAAAATTATTATATTAACAGTAAGTACGACAGCAATGTTAAAATATGCATCAAAAACAACGTTAGATTTCTTGTTTTATTTTTTCAGTATTGGCATTAATATTGTTTTCTTTCTATGGGTTTTCTGACCACAGATAACCTAACTGTCATAACTGACAGATGACAATCCATTCTGAAGTGAATTTCTGACGTCTGACGCAAGTCAGGAATGTATTGTGGAACAGGGGTTATGATGAACAGATGAACTACTGTATAATTAAATAATTATCATCTGTTGTATTGAAATTATTCTTTTAATAAGGTAAACGATATCACTGATAGTATTTTCATTTTATTACACACGGGATACGTATTAAATTCAATAAAACTTCCAGGGAATCACACGTCTGCAAAGATGCATAAAATACTAGAGTTTCAAGCTGTTGTGCTGGCCGCGGGCAGAGGATCCAGGCTGCCTGATGTCGGTGGTTCTGTTTCTAAGTGTTTGTTACCTGTGGGACCGTACCCTGTCGTGTGGTACTCATTAAACTTATTGGAGAAAATTGGATTTCAAGGTATGCTCTTGTTATCATAAAATTAACTGAGTTTTACTCTTAGAATCATCTTCGTGTTTGTCATTCAATACAGTACTACTGACTGATACAACTAGTAAGTCCCTTACACAAAGTGAAAGCATTTTTATTATTAAAATTATGTATTCTTTACAGAAACATTGGTAGTTGTACTCGACGAAGACAAGTCAAACATTCTGAATGCCTTAGAAAAATGTCCTCTAAAAATTAAATACGAATTAATAGTTATCCCATCAGATGAGGATTGGGGCACAGCTAACTCACTGAAGCACATCAGTAGTAGGATAACCACAGACCTATTGGTGATCTCTGGAGATCTTATAACTAATATTAATCTAAATGAAGTGTTGAATGTGCATAGAAAATATGATGCAGCTCTTACAACCCTATTCTTTAATAATGGCCCGGAAGAATGGATTGAACTCCCCGGACCTAAAACTAAAGCTAAACCAGACAGAGATCTAGTGTGCATTGATAAGGAAACACAAAGACTTGTGTTCTTAGCCAGTGCTAGTGACTTTGAGGAGAATATTACAATACCCAGAATGTTATTGAAGAAATTTGATTCAATAAGTATGTATAGCCGACTTTTGGATGCTCATGTGTATGTAATGAAGCACTGGGTGATGAACTACCTTGTGGAGTCGGACAGATTCACATCAATCAAAGGGGAACTTATTCCACACATAGTCAAGAAGCAACTGTCTAAGCCTAAAAACCCTTTGGAAAAGAAAGGAACTTCAGAGAAAAATGTTGAAATCACTAAAGATATATTTGATTATGCTGTTGAGAATGGTTATGAGAGCAAGATTAGGGAGATGACGGCATACAATGACCATAGACTAGGCAGTAAGGGTGTTTTCTACAATGACTTGCTACGGTGCTATGCTCATATACCAGACAAGGACACATTTGGTTTACGAGTAAATACATTGTCATCGTTTTATTTGTCTAATAACAAGGTAATATTTAAAAAAACATAAACTGACTTTCTAACATTTTATCTTCATATTTTATTTTAACATTATATTTAAATTAGAAAGTTAGTCTTTATAATAGTAGTATATAATAGTATTTATAACATAATGATAAGAGAATTCCATAAAACATCAGTAGATGAACTAAAGCTTTTAATGTTTTTAATTTCAGATCTTGTCTAAGTGGGAAGAGTTGACAGGTACTCCATTAACAGAAAGATTCCACCCAGATAGTGATATAAAAACAAAACAAATAGATGAAACCAGTACAGTTGGTGAGAAAAGTCTTGTCAGCGAGAAGACATCTATCAAGAACACATTCATCGGTGCCAACTGTACTATTGAAAACAAAGTTAGATTGACTAACTGTATATTGATGAACAATGTTACTATTAAAGAAGGGTACGATATTTTAATTTATTTATTCACAATAATAATGGTATAATAACATTAAATCTAAAGAGTTGAAAGTTATAATTTATGTGCCTAAGCTTTACTTAGTTCTCGAGTTTGTAACTAGATGGCGCTATGCGGCATTTTTGTAGCAATAAAATTTAAATGTGCATTTCATAATAGGAATGTTTCTATCTGATTAATTATTTATTTGCTCAGTATTTTTTATTATCTAATTATAATAAGTATGAAACAAGACTGCCTTTGCAATGTTAATTTACATCAAAATAAGACTAAGAATTGTTATAACAACCAACCATTATTTATTTCTACAGTTGTGTTCTACAAGACTGCGTAGTATACATTGGAGCGACGGTGGACACTGGTTGCAACCTACAGTACTGTCTGGTGGGCCCACATCATGCTGTCGCAGCCTCGACTACCAGCAACCATCAACTACACGCCGAGACCACTGACAATATGATCACTCTCGGCTAATATTTTTACTGAATGTACAAAATAATAAATGTTTTATAGTTTATATTATATACATAAATGTGAAATGTGTATTGTATCTTTGACTTTTTGGTCAGTATAGTTTGTTACCAGTTGAGATAGTTTCCACTCGTTAATAGTATCTTATAAAATAACCACCTGTACTCTAGGCTTCTTTATTTACTAACTTATTCACATCCTATGGTTCTTGTATGTTACCTGCCTCATCCAGTGGAAATTATACAATGTTTTTTTGTAATTGGGTAAGCCGGTAATCGAGCAGACGGATCACCTAATGGTAAGCAATCGAAACCGCCCATGGACACCTGAAACATCAAAGCCGTTACAAGTGCTTTACCGACCTTTTGGGAATTTGAGGATTGTGGGGGATTCAGGGACTTGGGGTAATTGGGCCTCCAGTAACCTCACTCCGTGGTATCACTGGTCGGGCCTGCCCATTCGTGCCAAAGCATGGCTCTCCCACACTTAGACCATCGGCATAAGTCTACCTGCAAATATGTATTTTGTGTAAGTATATCATTTAAAAACAAAATGTGGTTTAGTCAATGCACACCAATGTCATTCGCACACAAAACAAATGTGACAAGCAATAAACTAAATTGCAGTATTACCTAACTAATTAATTGGAACAATTCACACGTTAACGTCGCTCTGTGTCACGATAAATTGTAACGATAACGATGAAGTACTAGTATTGTGGTTCTAGTAGGTTTAGAAAGAGTTATCTAACCCGACACTAACCAACCCAATTAATCAATATTAATACTAAATACCTACAATCGTCGCGTTTGTATTCCATTGATTGAAAACTGAACATAAATCTTCAATTTTATCGTGTCTGTTCATCAATTGGAGTTATGAACTTTATGTGTGCCTACCTAGGTACTTCTATTGATTACTACTAATTACCTATGTATGTAAGTTCAAACCAAATCACACTCGTTCAATTCGGTAGTTCAAAATGAATAACCGGCTGGCGGCAGTATGAAGGAGAGTAGGCACGAAGTATGACTTTTGAAATAGGTAGGTACGTAGGTACCTATATCCTTTTCCCCTGAAGTGAAGTGAAGGGCACCTATTCCGAGATATAAGCTTATTACACCCAAAAGACTAGCAGGTAGATTTATCTAGAGTAAGTAGGTACCTATCTAGTCTGTAAACTACAGAGGCCTTAGTACGAGTTTGATTTACGTTTAAAGTATTCGAAACGAGTTCGCGTTCGGCACTCTGATTGGCCGGCACCAATGAACCAACCAATCACAGTGCCGAACGCGTACTCGTTACGATTACTTTAAACGTAAATCAAACTCGTACTAAGGCCTCAGGTATATATTCCTACAGACGAAAGTAGAACCTTATTTTTCTTACAACCCATACCTATTCATAAGTGAAATTTTCTGAGACGTTAAATAGACATGCATACCTAAGTTGTTCTTAAAATAAATTTACCTACTTAGGTTCCTAATAGCTAATGGCTAACACTGACCTTTCCTAATATGCAGCCATCAACGCCGTCTTCCTAGAACAGTTTTCTAATGTTGACATGAATTATATACAGAGTGCGATAATTCTGATTCGAAGACACGTATTTATTAACACTCACATAAATTACTGAATTGGGATATGATAATAATACCTATTAGTAAAGTACCTACGTTTGATTACAAGGAAAACAATTATATCCAAGAAATTGTCCCTATAACCTACCTACTCAAAGGCAAACTAAACACAGAAGAGGGCCTCGGGCCACAGACCATCGAGCTTTCGAAGGCTTACACACAGAAACAGAAACCCAGAGTCTAGAATAATGTACGTAATTGTAATTGTGCCTTCTTTTCACACGTAGTAGCGTAATTTGTATACACTGCGCTGCCGGGTAGGCGGGTACCCGGCACCGGCTATCCGGCAACCGGAACGTGTGAAGAGGCACTAACAGTTATAACAAAACACTGCGGTAAAAAATGTCATCGACCATACAAAATAGACCTATAGTCAGAATTTTAATTAGATTCCAGATTTGACAATAGCTACTGTCATTTTGTGAAAAAATGATACCACATAATGTGTAGTGATGAACACAAAAATCGAT